CTAGAAAGAGAGAGAGAGAGAGAGAGAGAGAGAGAGAAAAGAGAGAGAGAGAGAGAGAGGAGAGAGAGAGAGAGAGAGAGAGAGAGAGAGAGAATTGAGAGAGAGAGATGAGAGAGAGAGAGAGAGAGAGAGAGAGAGAGAGAGAGAGAGATAGATATTGAGGAGAGATATCAGAGAGTGAGATGAGAGAGAGAGAGAGAGATAGAGAGATTTTATAGAGAGAGAGATAGAGAGAGAGAGAGAGAGAGAAGGGAGGGGAGAAAATTTATCTTTATTTTTTTGTTTGTGTTATTTGAGTTCTTTTTTTGGGGGGGGAGCAGAAATAAAAATGCGAGCAAAATATTTTCCTTGTTCTGTTCCATCAGCTGAAAAATATGTTGGCATAACATTGCGTTATTGGCACATCAGAATGGTCGATGAAAAAGAGACAAAGAACTTAAGTGAACCACTCCCCCTTAACTAGCTAAGCTGTAGCACCAAAAAGCTATTACCTTTATAGAAGCAAAGGCAGAGAGTGGTAAACACATAAGCATTTTGATTATTAGTTACAAATATTGTTGTGCTATCTTTTAATAATTCTGATTTCCATGAATGATTTCTCAGTTTTCAGAAAAAGAACGAGCCATCAAATGAATAATAAATCCCTCGTTGATGAACACAAGGAAAAGAAATCATAAATTCTCCTACCTCAAGAAGATGAGCAGTAACAGGTTTCCATAAAACTTCAATTCTTGAAAGATTTACGAGTCCAGTCTCCAATAATTTGGCCACAGCAAATAGGGAAGGCTCCTGTCAAAAGATAACATCAATGATGATAATGATAATAATAATGACATCAAAAATAAATAAGAATAAAAATAAAAAAGACAAAAATTTCTAAACTCCAAGCAGAAAAATTAACAAGTCTTCCAAGACATTTCATAATGCTCATAATAAATGAAATAATGATGACATAAAATAATAATAAATCAGTATTAATCCTAAAAGCAGTATTAACAGATTTTGGGAATAGAAAGCTATATTTACAAAATAAGCTGTTTTGTTTTTCCCCCGCAATAATGGCGATAAAGATTATAAATCCACTTTTAATACAAACAGAAGAATTCCTTTTTGACTAGAATTTGTTATTGTTCCCAAGAAAACTAAACAGACATTTAATCTCACAGGTTTATAATCATAGCAATAAATTAAATCCATTTTTATTTTTATATTTTTCATATAAATTCTTTACTCCGTCTACCAAGAACACAATTCTCTTCTAACAACCACAAGAACAGAAGAGAATCCTCAGGGCTGAAATATTACTAATTCTCAAGAGCTTTTAGAAGAGTCTGCAGACAAAAACTGAATTCAAATTGCAAAACTTAATGAATAGAAACAGATTAACACTTTCGAGTTTGGTTTTTTTTTTTCTTGCTAAGTATACACTTCAGTTACAATGAAATTAAAGTGAACAATCTATTTAGGCCATTTTATCTCTGAAAAACATAGAACTAAATATATATAGTTTTTCTTCTATGTCACATACCTTCAGAACATTAGAAATCCTAGCTCTCCACAATTTCCTATTATTTGGTAAAATTTTGTCTTTTTGATATCTCTCCTATTCCCTGTGCTGCCATCCATTTGCGCATGCTTGTTAAGTAGGTTAATCGCTGTTTTACTGTAGCTCTTGCCTTTAGTATCTCATGTGAGTATAAAATTTACCAAGCCCTCTTTCCTCATTATTTCAGCTATTTCTTTCTTCGTGAAAGAATCCTTTTGGTTTCCATTTTCTCTAAAACTTCATTGTTGTTCAGTCCATGCTATTCTCAGCATGTTCAGTCCATGCTATTCTCAACATTTATTTTTTTCTTCATCTGTGATGAGATTGACCAGGATTCATTGATATAGAGGAGGATGGATATTATGTAACAGTTCAGTACTCTTTTCCTTGTTTCTAATATAATTTTCCTTTTTCTTAATACTTTGTTTAGCTTTTGGAAGGCATCTTTACATTATCCCAATGCATCTTCAGATTTTGCTGTCACACCTTCTGACTTCTGACTCTCAACAATAATATTAATAAAGAAAACATCATGAAGGTGCATAAGTCTATTGGAATTAACACCTTACATGGTACGGTGGAACATGACCATCCAGAAACTGTCAGCAAAATTTTAAAGAACAACAGCATAAAGGGGTTCAGACACCTGAGAATGTTGAGTTAACAAATTATAAAATCAAGTGTCGAGAACTATTTCAGGATGAGCATTGAAAGTTCCTCAAAAAGTTCTTCAAAAATTCTCAAGTCTTGTGAGATTCATACTTTCTCTTCAATTTTTAAATACTTTACACACACTTATATGTAACGGACACACACTTATAATCTAAGAGACACACGGAAAAGGTAATGTAGATGAAATTCCTTTTTCTGCTCATACAAGTTTTTATTAATAAATCTCTTTATTCTACTTTTGATGAAGTTCCTGAAGGAATCAAAAAACTGTTGTGTTGTAAAAGTTTATACATATGGGTCAGTAGTGCATTGTGGGTAGTCCATTCTGGCAGTTATTTTAGTGAGAGTGGCTTGTTTATTTACTTATTTATTTATAAATAAATAAATTACTTACATATTTATTTATTTATAAATAAATCAGTAAATAAACAAGCAACTCCCACCAAAATAACCACTAGAATGGACTACCCACAATGCACCACTGATCCATATATATAAATAGTTCAGAAAAAAACCCAACACTCGTGGCCTGACATGCATGAAACAGCCTGTTGCCTCTGTGTATTGACTTCATTGCTTATATATATAATTTCTATATATATATTATATATATGCAGTACTTATTGTAAAGGAGTTTGATGATCGCAAAAGTGTGAAACCCAGGGTTGCCAACTCATATCCATACAATTATAATATATAAGTGAACATTGAAGTCAACACTCAGAGGTAACAGACTGTTTCATGCTAATTAGAATCATCAGTCTATAAAACAGTCTGTCATCTCTGAGTGTTGAGTCCAATGTTCACTTTTATATTTACATATGCTCTATCTCTTTTAGTGAGCACTTTATCCCATAAATATAACATACCTTAAGATTATATTCTATATATATATATATATATATATATATATATATATATATATTATACTTATAACTGGTCACTTGTAATTGAGGATACCTGTCTACTAGGGCAGCTAACCAATCCCTATTGCAGACACTTGCTCAGGAGCATTTGCTGAACGAAATTGGTAAAAATACAAAATAGCATTAAATGTTTACTTTATGCACTTCAGTACATTGCTGCTACACTTGTAATAAATTTTATTGAGTGTTGGTTGATTGATTTATTATATATATGACTGATTTATACACACACATACAATGCAATGGATAAAATGAAAATAACACTGACATCTCATTTTAACAGAACTATTTATCAAAATTACACAAACATATCTTGAAATACTAAAGAGTAAATTTATTCACTAAAACTGCCACTGGCTTCAACCACAGCCTCCCCAAGGCTTTAGAATTTCATGCAACTCTTCTGGATGGTTTCCTTGATAAATGCTGCCATAATTCTTGCTTTCAGTTCATCATTGGTGTTACAAGGAATTTTGCTGGTCTCTTGCACAACTGCACTTCATGCATAATAATCAACAGGGTTACAGGGTAGGGAGTTAGGTGGCCAGATTTAAGGGAGGAATGTGGTCACAGAAATTGTCTGTCAGCCATGACTTGGTTCTCCTGCTTGTGTGGCATGGTGCAATGTCCTATTGCCAAATATAGGGTCTTCCAGCAGCCACCTTCTTGATCCAGGGCAGCACTACCTCCTTAATGTAGGCCTCTGTATTGAACCTGATGGCCTGTGGGAAGATGAATGGAGGCATAACATTGTCATCACGCCAAACACTTTTGTAATCACCATTACACTCATCCAACTCTTTCTGAATCCTTTGCACTGTCCTCAGATTGACACCCAAACACTCTGAAATGCTTGTATTAGAGCTTCTAGCACAAATACCAAGCAGTACAACATGCCATTTCCAAACATATGGCAGAGTGAATTGCATCATAGTCTTTTTCTCCCAGACGTTGCCCAACTGACCCTACTATACTGTGCAGTTGACAAAATCAAAAGAAACAATGCATACATGCAAAATCAATAACAATTTATTCATCATTTATTCATCACACCCTGTATATGTGTGTGTATATATATATATATATATATATATAAGATATATATAATAATAGCTGGACACTCGTATTCGAGGATACGTGTCTACTAGGGCAGCTAGCCAATCCCTATTGCAGACACTTGCTCAGGCACATTTGTGTTTGCTCAACACTCACTGAGCCCACCTGTGGTTTATAATGCAGCTATGCTGAGCAGACCTTAGTTACAATTTCTGGGAGAGAGCCTGTTATCTAGCGTGATCAACATTTTGAACAATGCCAGCACGCTCAAGTCCTCAGCCATGATGATTTGTTGCTTTGTGCTAGCACAGCTATCAATGACCCTCAAGTGCTCCGTCTTCCAAATATCACTCACAGGGCTTAGGTCAACCCGTGGTATGGTTTTCAGACACTTTCCAAAGGTCTCCATCAAGACATTCATTTATGTAGTTCACTGCTACCAGCAAGCAGAAAATTTTTTTCTCTCCTGATGATGGCCATGTTGACCGAAACTAGCTGAGGAATCTAAATGGAATAATAATAAAAACGAAAGAATATTAATATACAACCCAGTGTGTCTAATTTTTATTGTAAAATATATATATATATATATATATATATATATATATATATATATACACACAGAGTTATGACAGAATATGAGTAAATGATAATGTAGTTAACTCCCCAAAATAGAGTGAAATAAAAGCATTTTTCCTCTACTCATCATGTCTCCAGAAGATGACAGAATACATTATAATCAACAAATGAAAGAATAACTATAGAAAATAACTGATATCTAAATCAGAGTACAGTGAACA